AAAACTGGAATTAAATCTACCATAAACTATTAGATTTCATTAAAAGTTAACAGCTCTCCCTAATTTAATGATCTGTAAAAATATGAGTGGTGTAAATAAAGTTACACCCAGATTAAAAAAAAGAAGCAAACCTTATCATGCTCATCAATGGCATTTAGGATGACCAGTGCAGAGTCACGGGCGATCTGAAGCTGGGTGTCAGTTATAGACGCTCCATGATCCACCATCACAATAATGTGTTTGGACTGGGAACGGACTGCAGAGACATACACCGGTCTACAAGAAGATGCAGAAAAATAAACAAAATCAATAAATATATATACATTTTACAATGACCTTAGTGAGTCATATCATGCATAAATATTGTCCAACAACAAGACCTTTGAAGAGTCACAGGCCTGTGAAAGGATTTTACTGAACTATTAGTGCACTTATGTTTTTGTTTTCTTAATATTTAATTGCAAGCCTAAACTGCAGCAACACGATTAGCCATAAGAACAGGCAGTGATTTTAGAATATTTCAGGTCTAGTTTAAAGGTCAAGTTCAAGAATTAATGTGGCCGTCGACTCTTGCTCTTTTTGTGGTTTTATAGCGACACCTGTTAGTGACACGTCAAGTTGTTTACCAACAATTCTTTTACAGAGGCCTCTGTGGTCTCCATTCATCTGCAGGCAAGCAGTCAGTCTTTCAAGGATGAAGATGTGCACATCCTTGATAGAGAGGAATGTTGGTTCAAGAGAAAAGTAAAGGAAGCCATCTTTGAGAAAAGAACCCACCTGCCATTAAAAAGGGGCAGAGGCCACTGTGTCCAACTGTCCCCCTTTTACAGTGATGTTACTGCATCACTTAGCCCGCTGTGAATAGCAAGCAGCCATCAGGGCACCTGATGGTCCTCCTTTTGCATGTGAACCAACTAGTTTTGGCTGCCACCAGCAGACTGGTTGATCCACTATGAGAAGGTACTCTCTTATAAGACGGTTTGCTGCAGCTCCTCAGACTGACGAAGTCTTTTGGATAAAAGACAAAACGCTTCAACAAAGAAGAACACGTCCAGAAGACCTGACTCAACTATATTAGGCAAAGTTGCATCATTTCTCTAGTGACTGAAAGCCAAGATGCCAATATAAACAACAAAGAGAGGGAAAAAAAAGAACAATGTGGGACAAACAGAAGATGATGCAAAAGGCAGAGGGGAGCAATAGACAGATGTCTTTCAGCCATGGTTTACTAAAAAGTGTGAAATTCTGTCAGACGACAGTTGTACATTCCTGCTAAGGGCATGTGTGGTCATGAAGTACAAAAGCAGCATGCCATGAGCATAGACAAGAGGAGGAAAAGGTTGTATGAGGGTGATGAAGACAAAAGAAACAAGTTCTTAGGGCTTTCATATTAACCAGTCTGCCTCAGTAGTCTAAAGCCCTATTCGCATGGGATTAGTTTTACCTAGGGACCACATGCTAATTGTAATAATTACGGAGATTGTCTGTGTTGTTAATTCTGTGCGAACTGGCCATGTCAGTAATTTGTAAAGTAAAAATTCCCCTGGAAATTACTTACTATAATTTGCTGAATTTTGAGGTCCTTTGATAATACTGGACAGAAATGTGCGGGATCCAATACGTAATTAGGCAGTTTTTGGTTTTGTTTAAACAAAATCATTTGGAAAAATATAGAACAAGCTATTTTAAATGAACGCGCTGCTCGCTTCGGCAATTGTAGATGCTGCTACTTCCTTCACTGCAAATGACAATAGGTGCGGAGACGCACGCATGATCAGCTGACCCATCCATCCATCCATTATATTTACCCGCTTCTTCCTTTTTGGGTAGCGGGAGTCACTGGTACCCATGTCCAGCCATCACTGTACGAGAGGCAGGGAACACCCATGACAGGTCGCAAGTCCATTTCAACCCGCGGGTCAGCGGCCGCATGGCTGGTGACAGGTTGTCCACCTGAGCTCAACGTGGCTTTTTTACCTCTTAAACTGGCCGGTCGGACCTGCCTCCTCCTCATCAAATAGATTAACACAATTTTATATTGTGCATTCTTTAGTTTTCTTTGTGCCGATTCGTAAAACCGCATCAAAACCATCCCGGCTCGCACATTAAGCACATTATATGGACCAGCTCGGTCGTGAGAATGCAGCGCGTTAACATCATATCCAGAAGATGTCTGTAAATTTCAGCTCAATCTCAGGCTTTGGTTGTCCCGTGCGAATGCACCACATGAAAAGCAGACGTTGGGGAGTAATTTATTTATTACATGTGGGCCCCTAGATGAAACTAATCCCGTGTGAATAGGGCTTAAGTGGTACAAGTACAAGAGGCTTGATTATTTCATATTTGAAAGATGCAAAGGACAACCTAAGACAGAGAGAAGGGGAAGTTTGATACCGGCTGCGATGCTCGTAGTTTCCTTTGCAGTGGAACTTGTGGGCAGGGAAGACTGTAAAGATGCCTTCTTCTGAGCTGAAGTACTGCCACTTTATCCCTGGGTTGGACTTCAGGTTGTCAGCCAACACTGTAGAGAAGATGGATACAAGAAATGGAAAATTAAATCAGAAGCAGGAAGGAGAAAAGAAAAAGATTTGGAAACAGTTACAGGTGGGAGTTGTGCTTAAAACATTTAAATATTTTTAAAAACAAAGCCACATTACACTCAATCAGAATCAACTTTATTGTCACTGCACAGTTAAGCACAACAAAATACATTTCAGTGCAGCCGTCCAAAAAAAGCAAGGGTAGACGGAGGTGCATGGAGGCTGTAGCTTTGTTGTGAAGCGTTGCCCTTATTGTTTAGATAAGATAAGGGAAGAAAAACATGAGGAAAGAAGATTGTATTAAAAAAAATCTCTCACATTGCGTTCTTGACACACAGGACACAGTGTAAAGCCCCCAGTATACTGCCGCGTACGTCTATACACAGAGGTACGAGCGTACCCCCCAGGGCATGTCCGTGCAAAGCTCAAATTTTTACGACCGCATACGCGTACGCGGTGTCGCACAATAAACTGCCCGGCGACGGACTGTTTTGGATGCAACACCAATGTATTAAATTCCCCTTCTTCATCCCTGATCTGGCCTTTTCTTCTGTTTTTTTTTTTTTTTTTTTTGGCCAAGAGGCAGTGATCTCTTCCTCCTCCGTTGATGCCATGACTGAAATGGTGAGAAATTAAGGAATTTGTCACGAGGGAATTAAACTCAGGTACAGCGTGGATGAGGGAGGGTCTGAAGATTTCCTGGTGGGCTGGTTTGATGTGTGGGCTGCAGAGCTAGCGCTCCCTGCTTCTTTTTTTTTTAGATCTTTTTATTAACAACATGTAAACACAGAACACCGCTGTGGCTGCCAGCGCTCATTTTTTTATTTCCCAACCTGTCAATCAATCCAATAGGCGTGTCAGCAAATGACCAATCGGCGACCTCGATTTGTCCCGAAGGTAAACGCCCCTTGTCTGTGAAGCTGCTCTGCAGCTGCTCAGGGTGTACGCTGGAGTCTGAACCCTCTGCGTACAGTACACGCATACGTACGCGTGAACGGACGTAAGCGGCAGTATAATGGGGGCTTAAGGTAGCAAAAAAAATTATTCGGCACCAAAAGAAGCAATATAGTTAGACACAAGACATTTTGCAGGGGGTAGAGAAGGTCGATAAAGGTGGTGAGATTGTCCGTGAACACTGCCAGAAAGTTCCATAGTCTTGATAAAGATGGCACAGTGTCTATCAACGGAGTCATCTTTGATAAGGATCCTCAGATGTTCCGGAGGTGTGTTGGTGTGTGTGTGTTGGGGGGGGGGGAGCAGAGTTTCATGATTTACATATCCTCCAGGAGCAATCTGAGAAAAGTCAGCCTATCCAAGACCAAGCGGGGAAGCCATCCATCCATTTTCTTTACCCGTTTATTCCATTTTGGGTCACGGGGGTCGCTGGTGCCCATGTCCAGCAATCACTGTGCGAGGGGCGGGGTACACCCTGGACGGGTCGCAAGTCCATCACAGGGCCACATAGAGACACACGAGACAAACAACCATTCACTCTCTCACTCACACCTAGGGACAATTTAGAGTTACCAATCAGCCTAACATGCATGTTTTTGGTCTGTGGGAGGAAACCGGAGTACCCGGAGAAAACCCACGCATGCACGGAGAGAACATGCAAACTCCACCCAGAGGGCCCCTGGACCGGGGTTTGAACCAGGGACCTGCTCGCTGAGAGGCAGCAGCTCTACCAGTTGCACCACCGTGCTGCCGCGGGGAAGCCAGATTCAGATAAACAACAATTTTTGGGGTCAGGCCAACTCTACTGATTTCATGTCTGCCTTCATAGGTCTGGTATGTACAAACCGGATTCCAAAAAAGTTGGGACACTAAACAAATTGTGAATAAAAACTGAATACAATGATGTGGAGATGGCAAATGTCAATATTTTATTCGTAATATAACATAGATGACATATCAAAAGTTTAATCTGAGTAATTGTAACATTTTAAAGGAAAAATATGTTGATTCACAATTTCACAGTGTCAACAAATCCCAAAAAAGTTGGGACAAGTAACAATAAGTGGCTGGAAAAAGGAAATTGAGCATATAACAAACAGCTGGAAGACCAATTAACACTAATTAGGTCAATTGACAACATGATTGGGTATAAAAAGAGCTTCTCAGAGTGTCGGTGTCTCTCAGAAGCCAAGCTGGTAAGAGGATCACCAATTCCACCATTGTTGCGCAGAAAGATAGTGCAACAATACCAGAATGGTGTTACCCAGCGTAAAATAGCATAGACTTTTAAGTTATCATCATCAATCGTGCATAACATAATCCAAAAATATTCAGAGAATCTGGAACAATCACTGTGCGTAAGGGTCAAGGCCGTAAAACTCTACTGGATGCTCATGATCTCCGGGCCCTTAAACGTCACTGCACCTCAAACAGGAATGCCACTGTCAAGGAAATAACAGAATGGGCTCAGGAATACTTCCAGAAAGCTTTGTCAGTGAACACAATCCACCGTGCCATCCACCGTTGCCAGCTGAAACTCTACAGTGCAAAGAGGAAGCCATTTCTAAGCAAGCTCCACAAGCTCAGACGTTTGTACTGGGCCAGGGGTCATTTAAAATGGAAAGTGGCAAAATGGAAGACTGTTCTGTGGTCAGATGAGTCACGATTTGAAGTTCTTTATGGGACACTGGGACGCCATGTCATCCGGACCAGAGAGGACAAGGATAGCCCAAGTTGTTATCAACGCTCCGTTCAGAAGCCTGCATCACTGATGGCATGGGGTTGCATGAGCGCTTGTGGCATGGGCAGCTTGCATGTCTGGAAAGGCACCATTAATGCAGAGAACTATGTTCAGGTTCTAGAACAACATATGCTCCCACCTAGACGTCATCTCTTTCAGGGAAGACCCTGCATTTTTCAACACGATAATGCCAGACCACATTCTGCAGCAATCACAACATCATGGCTACGCAGGAGAAGGATCCGGGTACTGAAATGGCCAGCATGCAGTCCAGATCTTTCACCTATAGAGAACATTTGGCGCATCATAAAGAGGAAGGTGCGACAAAGAAGGCCCAAGACGATTGAACAGTTAGAGGCCTGTATTAGACATGAATGGGAAAGCATTCCTATTTCTAAACTTGAGAAACTGGTCTCCTCTGTCCCCAGATGTCTGCTGAGTGTTGTAAGAAGAAGGGGGGATGCCACACAGTGGTAAAAATGGACTTGTCCCAACTTTTTGGGGATTTGTTGATGCCATGACATTTGGAAACAACAGATTTTTCCTTTAAATGATACATTCTCTCAGTTTAAATGTTTGATCTGTGATTTGTGTTCTATTCTGAATAAAATATTAGATGTTGGCACCTCCACATCATTGCATTCAGTTTTTATTCACAATTTGTTTAGTGTCCCAACATTTTTGGAATCCGGTTTGTGTGTATGTGTGTATATATATATATATATATATATATATATATATATATATATATATATACGTATATATATATAGCACATTTATCATGTTACGTCATCTTCCCTTTTAATTACTCAAATTGTTTGGCAAACAAGGATCCAAACTTATGCATCTTTTGACAAAATACTTACATTATAATTTATGACTTAGCTCAAGTTTTCATTTAGATGTTATCTATTGTACGTAAATCAATTTCAGACAAGTCTTTACCAGAGCAGACCAACTCTCTGTCCTTAATGTTTTTTAAATATACCTACAAATGATACACAAACTGTTTCAAAAATTTTGACTCTGAGCCATTCAAAGTTGTTTATGAATAGCTTTACCTTTTTCTTTATTTGGTCTTTTTGCAGCTTATCAGAGGCAAAACAGACTTAAACCACACAAGAGAATAAACTCTGCCCTTCAGGTCAAAAAGTGAATATATATCCCAACTTTTGAATCTGCAACTTTTGTCTGAAACAGTGACCAACTACAACTGCAAAAATGTCTTCCTTTCTTTTGTTCAATATAAAAAAAGAAAGACTTTGTGACTGAATCACTGAGCAAACGGTCTATAGAAATGTTTCCAACTTCTTTTCCGCTCAGTGCAACAAAATACAAGCTTTTACAAAGGCATAGCGAGAGGGAGGGGTGGGTGGAGTTAAGGAGAGAGAAATAATAACTTCAGGGCTTTAATGGGGGAAAAGGAAAGAGAAAAATCGGTGCATAGCAATGAAAAAAGACGTCATTAAAAAAGAAATAAAACAAAGCAGCTGTTCAAACAACTCTGCTCTTATTAAAATGTAGGAATGTAGAAAAACGGTACAGAATCTAATCTCAAATCCTCAGTCCAATAATGCTTCTGCACTGATTATACATAAACTCCACTAGGTCACTGCATCCATCTTTGTGCCTCATATAAACAGGAACCACTCTGTTGTGTTGACAATAAATGAAGGACTGTGTATACAAATGTCAGGTTGCAGTGATCTATTCTGCCTTCCATGTTTAAACCTTATCAGAAGTGGATGAACAACCAAAGTGGTGCCCACATGACCATTTCATGTGGCTTTAGTATTCCTGTTCTACAGCAAACTACACAATCTAATATACTGGCCTAATCATATAAACACAAAATGTAAAGTTCTAAGAACAAAATATTGCGAAGAATGAAGTGTAATGTCAACCGAATGGATCTTTATATTTGCCAACAGGTTGTTTTAATCAGAAATGTATTGAATGACTTGGTTTTAGCGCACTGATTTTGTGCATTAGAATTTTTGTTTGTCAGCCAAATCATTTTGTAGTTACAGAAATATTTCACTTAATAATTGCAAACCTTTAATGAATTGTTGTAATAGTTAGCGTATTTTCCGTCGTAAACGTCACACCGCCCTATAAGTCGCATCAGTCCAAATATGTCTAATAAAGTGGAACAATCCATAAATATGTTGCTTCGCCTTATATGGCGCATCTATTATGCGTCACCGCTAACAACCCGGAAATTTGGACCGGTTTTGTGCCAAAAATTGATTGGCTGCCAAATGGCAGCCGCGGGAGCGTGCACAGGAGGACTTTAAACAAGAATTTAACAAGATAACACTTAAAAACAATTTTTTGTTTGCTCAAAATTATAGCAAAGGTGTGTCTCAGTTTAACTTTTCATTAATAAATGCGCTTTGATGGTCAAATCAGCTGCATTTTCAAAAGCCGATACGCGAAAACATGAACACGCAGAGGGCAACCCGTTGTCCATTTCTTCAAAATTTAACAATATAACCACCTAAAAATAATTATTTGTTAGCTCGACTTTACAGTAAAGGTGCGTCTCAGTTGAACTTTTACTTAATAAATGCACTTCATTGGTCAAATTAGCTGCATTTCACTGTGGAGGTGCATCAAAATGAAGCTGATTTGATGGTTGCACCAGGCAGACGACAGTGACAGGCTATGGCGAGTCGATTGTGTCATTAATAGCCACTTTTACCCATTACATGATACAATGGCATGCCATACTGCTCGACTGCCATCTAGCGGTTGAAAAAGGTAGTGTTCAATATTTTCAGTCAGAATGAATGAAAACGGTCATATCTCAGCCAAAAATTGGTTTAAAAATATGTAAAAAACAATCCATAAATATGTTGCTTCTGCGTATAAGTCGCAGGGCATGCAAATTATGTAAAAAAATGCGACTTATGCAGCGAAAAATACGGTATTGCTTATGCAAAACTGAACATAGACTAATTAGTGTGTTGATATTTTTCAGAAAAACGTTTCGACTATCAATCTAGAACAAAAGATTTACCATAAACTGACTAATAATAAAGACAAGAAAGATACACGATGGGAGGACTGAGAATGGTGAAGAATCAGGCAAAAAAATGGAGGTCTCGAAACACCTCTTTATGAAAGAAAAAAAATGGCTGAAATTGCACAGGATGAAAGACTTCCAAAAAAAAAAAAAAAAAAAGGGATGAAAGGCTGGATCAAGTTGGTGTTGTAATCATGCTACACTCAGACTCTGCCATCGCTGATATCAGTCCAGAGGTCTCCCATATCCACAATCATTCCCATCCCTCCATAAAATGGAAGATTAAAAACAGAGAAGCTGAAAGAAATGTCATGCAGTCAGTTCTAATCAGCTCTCACTCCTCCCACCCCTTCCTTCATTCATCATTCTCTCCATCACAATTATCCTTGGTGTTCTTGGCCACTCCCTCCCTTCTCTCTACAGCGGGCTTGTTTAGACTGGGCTGAGACAAATGGGAGAGACTGAATACACTGGGAGTGTGGGGGTCAAGATGGGGCGAGCATGAGGGACGAAAAGAGGGTAAGGGAAGTGGAGGGGGGTAACTTGAACTCATTATGACTGGCTTGTAAGGAAAATAAAACCTAGTTGGTGGTGACGTGTTATGAATGGCAGTCATTATGAAAGGTTTGCTGCATGGAGTTACTGGAGGGAAAAAGACTATGAGGTGGGGCAGCGATGGGATGACAGAGGTTGATCCGGTGATGATCAAGGTTTCACAGAAAGAGGAAATACAAGGACAATACATGTGGGGAAATGAAAGGGTCCAGTGTTCAGCATGCTGCAGGTGGGAGGCCTTTTACAAACTTATTATATGAGCATTTTAAACCAAAAGTTCAGCTATCTGAAACTTTGGGCAGCTTGTCTTATAGTTTGAAAAGAAGAATGTCCTTCTGATGTCACTACGTTTCCAAAAACTCTAAAAGCACCCCCTCATGCACAGACTTGATTTTAAGTTAGTTTTAAGAAGCTTATACTAAATACCCTAATTTTAACCCTAACTGATTTACGCTCCCTTATTTTTCTTTTGGCTGTTCCCTCTTTCAGGTGTTGCCACAGCGAGTCATCCTTCTCCATCCCATTCCGTCCTCTGTCCTCACTCCAACTACCTCCATGTCCTCTCTAACTGCAACCATACATTTCCTCTTTGGCCTTCCTCTTTGTCTTTTTCAATCCGGTTCAGTTTATTTATACAGCACCAAGTCACAACAGAAGTCATCTCAGGGCACTGAACAGAAAAGTTTCCAGGCAGCTTCATTTCACACTGTCCCTCCTCTGGACATGTCCAAATCATCACAGTCTGGCCTCTCTAACTTTATCTCTCAGTTGTTCAACCTGTGCTGTATCTCTCATGATCTCATTCTTAATCTTATCCATCCATGTCACTCCCAAGGAGAACCTCAACATACTCGGCTCCGTCACTTCCATTTCTTTGTCCTATTTTTTCGTCAGTGCTACTCTGTCCCCCCCACCGTACAACATAGCTGGTCTCACTATTCTTTTGTAAACCTTTTCTTTGACCTTTGCTGACACCGTTTTGTCACAAATCACTCCTGAAACTTTTCTCCATCCATTCCATCATTCATGGACTCTTTCACCTCTTTACCACACTCCCCATTTTTGTGGACGATGGACCCCAAGTACCATACTTGAAGTCATGCACCTTTGTGACCTCTGCTCCTTGTAGCCTCACTGTTCCTCCAGCCTCCCTCTCATTCACACACATGTACTCTGTCTTACTACAGATTACTTTAATTCCTCTTCTTTCAAGTGCATACCTCCACCTCTCCAAGTTCTCTTCCACCTGTTTCCTGTTCTCACCACAGACCACAATGTCATCTGCAAACATCATAGTCCACAGGGATTCCTGCTTGACCTCATCTGTTAGTCAGTCAATCAGTAGAGCAAACAAGGGGCTCAGAGCCGATCCTTGATGCACTCCCACCTCCACCTTGAAGCTATCTGTCACTCCTACAGCACATCTCACCACTGTCCTGCTGTCCTCGTACATATCCTGTACCAGTTTAACATACATCTCTACAACTCCAGATTTCCTCGTACAACACTACAGCTCCCCACTCGGCACCCTGTCATGGGAGGAGCAGAGTCCTAAAGGATTAGCCATAAAAACTCTTCTTTATGATGGGCCATTTTGAACACATACAGTCATGTTAATTGTTAATATCCACTCTTTGACAAATAGAAACCCTGAATTCTCATGTTTTGGGAAAAAATATTTTCTAAAAACTTATTTTTTAAAGGGTTGGTAAATAAAGCACCATTATTTGGATTTTAAAGTTTAATATAAGTTTTGAGAACTTAAAAGAAGGAAAACGTAGCAAATTGCTGAATTTACTCGTAGTAACGTCAAGTGAAACTATGGTACAGAGCTGGCTGTGCTTTTCCAACAGGGACTATGGGAAAGTTGTTAAATATTCCAGGGAATAAAACCTGTGTTACACGCATATAATGTGTAGTTTGATTTTTTTCTTTCTTTGAAAGCAGGAACTAAACAGATTAATGGCACCAGGACAGAAAAGTCAGCAGGATCCAACTGGCTTTTGTGCAATTTTAATCAAATTTGTCCGTTTTGTTTATAATCAGATACAGACAGACAAGTGTGTTGCTGCCACGTGTTGGTTTTACAAGGCAATATTCTACAACGTGCTTGTGTAATCTGGAACAGCAATAAATGTTTTGCAGCAGCAGTAAGAACTAAACAGTTTTCCAAAGATTTTCCTAACATAACACAGCAATGTTTTATTATAATCGTATGCAAATATGCTCAAGTGTTGAGAACCGATGCAACCATCTAACATCAAATCAGAACCAAGACACACACAAAAAAATAGAAAAACTGCCTAAATATAAATGGAGACAAGAGTTCAAAGTCAAATGAGACCACAGACAGTTAGAAAAAAGTTAGAAAAAAAATCATAACGGAATGAAAAAGATGGAGAAACTTTCAAACTTGTCTTTAGAGCAAGTCTTATTCTCACATCAAAGTTTTTCACTTAATTAAAATTCCAGGAGCTAAGAAGGACTGAAGACATGAAACAATGTCTTTATCAAAATGCCTTACCATGGCAACAGCCATTAGGTTATTGCTCATTTCATAAACCGCACATAATAGAAGTTCAAGCTCTTAAACCTTGTTTACCAACAAAATGTCTGTCCCTGCATTTAATGTGGGTTCCAATTGAACAAACCTGAGTTGAGCTCGCGCCCAGGATTGAAGGCTCTGCTGTTGACGTTGGGAGAAAGTCTGTCACAGCAGATGGTCTTGGAGACGTTGGTATTAAAGTGTCCATCAAACCTGAACAGAAACAAACAGAATTTGAGCATTTTTACATCTCATTTAATTGTGCAGAAGGCCTGGCTTTCCACTCAATACAAACACTGTTTGATTTCATATAAAAAACAAAGATGAAGGTTTGCACACTGATGGTTTTAGTTAAAAGACTATTCAGTTATTTCAATTCAAATCTGTTTTATTACCAGCTGTCTTATCTGTTGCCCAGAGCACATAATAAAGCCGACGTTAAGGCTGGTGAAAAACACTTTCCATGGGAAAGTGCTTGAATTCTTTCCAGGAATACCCAGCCTTTTGCGTATGCACAGTATGAACTTTAATAAAAAAGATGGATTTGTTTAACTGGGCAATCTGATTTACTTGTACAAATAGTGTGATCCAACTTATTTGTCATGCGAGTCATTTGCTTGCCAACCATTAAAACCTATTTAAAATGAACATCATTTGGCATCTACTGGAACACAGGTTTCAGTTTCTACACATGTGTAATACAGGTGTGTAGTCCTGTTGCATGACTTTTGAACATGTTCAAAATGTTAGTGCGACAAATTTTCTCTTTAAATAGAATCATCACAGGCACCTCCAACCCATGTCAAAAGATTTAGAGCCTGATTTTGACACTTGCACCAGAGCTTCCCTTGACATAAAACATCCAAGGCAAATGTCCAAGTCTAAAAACCATGCTGACATTCAATAATAGTTGCAAATACTCAGAATTTATTGTGCAAGAAACAGAAAATGTGCTTTTTTGCAGTTTAAGCCAATTAGTCTCCAACAGTTGCAGCCTGGTGAGGATGCTACCTTTAGCTTTTAAGCAGCAATATCAAAAAAAAAAAAAAAAAAATACTATATTGCATCAGTCTCTAACTGGCTTGCACATGCACTCTGGTATGATTTGATAAATGTGGCTCAGCAAAAAAATCCAACAGAACATGAATTTGAAAGTGTTAAGGAGATACTTCAAATAAAATAACGCATTATAAGGCAGCACGGTGGTGAAGTTGGTAGAGCTGCCACCTCTCAGCGAGAAGGTCGCTGGATCGAATCCTGGCCAGGGGGCAATTCTGGGTGAAGTTTGCATGTTCTCTTGGTGCATGCGTGACTATTCTCCGGGTACTCTGGTTTCCTCGCACAGCGCAAAAACATGCAACTTTAATTAATTTTTTTTTTTTTTTATGTTAGGCTTCTTGGTAACTCTAAACTGAGTGAGAGAGTGAATGGTTGTTTGTCTCGTTTGTCTCTATGTAGCCCTGTGACCTCATACTGATGAGATTTCATCACTCATCAGTATGCTGCCGTTTCTGTGTCGAGTTCTTTTTTTTTTTTTGCAACTCTCTCCAGTCAAGGACACAGTGTGAGATATGATTTTTTTAATACCTCCCCTCCCCCCGTGTTTCTCTTTTTCTTATCTAAACAAAAAGGGCAGCACTTCAGAAGGCCACAGCCTCAGACACCTCTGTCTCCCCATGTCTTTGTTTTCTCGAATGGGCTGTACTGAAATGTAATTTTGTTGTGCTTCGGTGCACTAACAATAAAGCAGATTCTGAAATACTGAAAAATTCTGATGGACTTGCAACCTGTCCAGTGTCCCCTGCCTCTCACACAGTGACGGCTGGACATTGGCACCACTGACCCCCATTACCCAAACAAAGGAAGAAGTGGGTAAAAAAATAATGGATGGATGGATGGAGGAAGAATAGGCACATGTTGGGGGTTTCTGCAAACCTGAGTAGCATTTTTTCAGAAATTTTCATAGCAGAATATGCAGTAATAATTTAATAAGTTACGCAAGTGTTGACTGCAAGGATTGGTTTATAAAATGACAGGCGTAAGCAGAAGAGCAGGCTGTTCTGCACTGCACCAAGCCCCGGTACTTTGATCCTTCTTTTCCTCTGGTGAGACTAAGTCACCCCAACCCCATCCCAATCTTCTGGCTTAGCAACATGCATACACACATGTGTACTGCCCTCATATGTACCCATGCTATGTTCTCAAAGACCTGGCGCTGGTCGTTTTTACTGACAGAAACCGTAACACGCAGTTTGCATTTGAACATGTCCCGTAAGTCATCACTATTCTCCTTCAACTCACTGTAGATGGAGGGGAAGGGCAGAAAGCTCAGCAAAATCCGTGCAAGATAAAAAACACATTTGCAGTCGCTTTGAATCCAACATGAAAACCATACGATAAAGGAGGAGAGCTCAGAGCAAAGAGCCTCAAACATTTAATGAGGGCAGAGCATTCTTTTTTTTTTTTTTTTATAGAAAATTAGGGTTTTACTCACCAAAAACACAAAACTTACAAGCTGAATTTGATTTATTCGATAAGAAACTAGTGGTGAATGAAAACTCTTTTCACATTGCATCAAACTGTACCCCTAATTTCTATAAATAATACTTACATTGCTAGAAAAGGCTCGCTGTAAAAACGCATTAATAAGCCAAAAATGTGAATTTTGGTGCCTTTAAACAAATTGAAAAGGCAGAGTTGCCTTAAAAGCAACGCCTGTCATTCTCAGCAGTTAGCCATTCGCCGTTTATTGAATCTCTTACATTAAGCAGCACCCTGCTTCAAGAATCATGTATTTTCACAAAGCAGACGTCTCAACACTATTCAAAAAGCCCCGTGAGAACAATTATCTTAAAGAGACTTGCCGCTGTGCCAGCCCCAAAGAGTAATACCATTTCTAATGTGTTTGGAGTCCCTCGGCAGCAGCAGTGGCAGAAAAGAAAACAACACGCTCACTGAAGAGCTGAAAGCTTGAAGAAGGCCTTTTATGTATCCCAAACTGTAGAAAGGCTTTAGAAAAATTGTTTAGTGCATAACATTTTTAGGGAATGGAAAACAGAAAAAGCACCTGCTGAGTTTGATTTTTTGTTTCTGAGTTGACTGGAATAAACTGAAACGTGTCTAATATTATTGCCTTTCTCATGTAGGGAAAAAAAAAAGAAGACACTAATAATACCTCCCACATAGGTGTGATCTAGTCTTAAAGGCATCAAATGTATTTAGTCAAAATCTACATTAAATGATACATGTATGTAATAAAAAGCTGAGGTATCTTGAAGTTCATTAAACAAAAACTCAAATTGCTTCTGATTGTGTGAGTGAATTATAATGGCTTATAGTCAATCTAGTCAATACACCACTAAAGGTTTTTGTCCAGGCTTTTTTTATTTATTTTTTATCCATACACAAAAGGTAATAAGTTGAAAAGTAAACAGGAGGGACAAAGAAAAACAGTCCAATACCAAAATGATTATCATCGCCACTACAGGCACTTGATCAGAGGAAAACAAGTACCGTAATTTCCAAACTATAAGCTGCCACTTTTTTTCCACAGACTTTGAACCCTGCGGCTTATACAGTGCTGCAGCTAATTTATGGATTATTTTTTTGTTTTGACGGGCTAATGAGCTTCATGCCGCCAACACATTTAGTCTCATCACACCTGGGCACAAAATACACGTATCTATTGGGAGGTGGGTCCTCGTGACTTAGTGAGTCTACCTGTATAAAGGTTTAAAAAAAAAAAAAATCTGAACAATGAAATTACTGAACAGGTCTTGGTGGACCAATGAAACGTCGAATTACCGTAAATCAAACGCACTCATACTAAATTCTTCAGATCAGTTAGTTTGCACTTCATGCACAGACTTTCGTCATGGAACGCACACGAAGAAATGCATATGATGCAGCTTTCAAGTTAAAGGCGATCGATCTGGATGTCGAAGAAGGAAATAGAGCTGCTGCACATAAGCTTGGCGTCAGTTAATCAATAGTGAGACGTTGGAGATGGCAGTGCGAAGAACCAAATCAATGTGAAAAGAAGATAAAATCTTTCAGAGGTAAAAAAATAAAAAATAAAAAAGCAGATGGCCCAAACGTGAAAACAAAGACTGGGTGAACGCACAGAGAGCAGACGGCCGAGGTGTTTTCACCTCCACCACCACCAAAGTAATAATAATAATAATGGCAAAATTAGTTTATGGATTTAACCCATCGCACCTGGGATACCCCCAGGTGGAGCAGTGGGCAGCTATGTAGGCACCCAGGGAGCAATTGGGGATTAGATGTCTTGCTCAAAGAGACACCCCGACATGTGGGAATGGCTGGGGATCGAACTTTTGGGTCCCAGGTCGGCTGCCCTGCCTCTACCCCATCTCGGCCCCCAAGTGATGTTGAGAGCGACAACGAAAGAGAGACCAAGGACATGTGTGATGAAGTTTTTCTGAGACTGTTCAATTCTGACACTGAAGAAGACGACTTTAGTGATTTTAGTGCACAGGCGGAAGATGAAGATGGCGATCAATGACTTTTCCTGGTAGGCTACTGTATTTTTTAATTTTATTTTTAACCAGCTGTGTCACATGCACTGTTAAGGAAAAACAACATAGTGATCATTGACTTTTTCTGGTAGGCTACTGTATTTATTTATGTATTTATTTATTTTAACCAGCTGTGTTACAAGCACTGTTAAGAAAAAACAACAACATAGTGATAAGTAGCTATATTTACATGGACATAAGTAACCGGATCAAACGGCTGTTCGGAACAAAAACGCGTCATGTAAACACCATGTTCGGGTTATTTGTTTATTCAGCGTGATCCGATATAATTTGGGATCAGAACGAAACGGGTGGTTTATTCATAACCCGAACGGTGCGCATGTAAACGTTTGATCTGTTCGTTTTTATCTGATGGTGAAAAACTGACCTGACTGCGCATGTGCGACTTTGCCATTTCCGACTGGCTAATGCTAATAAGATTAGCATGTCAGGGAAGTAAAACTGGTCGGTGAGTGACAACATTTCTACTAGAAACTTTGAAAGAGCTCAAAATGATCTGTATTACCTGTCGCGGGTCCATTTTGGGTGCTCAGGTTTGTTTACGTTCGTCCCGGAAGTAAACCAGAAGTAGAACTTCTTCTTTGGTGTTTTTTTTTAAAGGAGAGTTTACCACTCTGCGCATGTCAGTACTGCTGTTCAGAACAAAGCCCGCTG